AGCCCCCACTCCCAGCTGTGCGAACCTGCTCCAGCCCGAGAGACACTAGAGCTGCTCCTGAGCCGCACACAGCCCAGATCCGCTGGGTTCACCATCCCTGAAGTACTTGCGAGCACAGGGTAAGACTAAATCATCATTTCATTGATCTGCCTCTACTTTTGGCACTTAAACAATGGTATTCCAGTACGCTGAAAACCACAGGCCTAGAAATTACTAACTGTACTTAGATCAAACACCTTTGACACGTGTAAGAGTGCCATTCAGATTAAGATGATCATTCCAGCTCTGTAACAATTAAAAAAAAAAAAAAACTTGCAAAAATTTTGTTTTATAAATCTAGCCTTTTTTCCTTAAAAAAAAAAAAATAATACCTTTGTGGCAACATCAAATGCAGGAAAAAGTCCCATATAGCCCTTTCAAGAGCAACAATTACAGCTCCCAATAAAATCAACACAAGGGCAAGGAGACCAATTCATTACCACCTTTAACCACCACAACTCCAAGAACAAACCACCCCAAAACTAAATTCGAACAAAAATGACCAAAAAAAAAAAAAAGCAAACCTACTTTATATGGGCAACGAGAGTCCTGCTTACACATGTTGGCAATATGCCGATTGCTGTGCAGAAAGTATGGAATATGCTCATCTGGCAAGTTGATAGTTTTGTAGCTATATAATGGCTCTTCCACAACGCTTTTGAATTCAGTAAGATTTTCATCTTGGGAATTTGCCAGGATTTCTTGGAGTAGCAATCCAAAAGCAAGCAACTTTAACATGGCAACCTACAAGTTCTGTAGTTATTTTAAAAAAAAAGACACACACCAAAAAAACAAAAAAAAATTAGCATATATGTGATGTAGCACATTTCAAGCATACGAGGCAACATTTGGCCAAATTAAGTCATGCACTCAAAGAATTCACATTCAGATTTCCGAAGTGGAGGGTTCCCCCCCCAAGAAGAACAAGCTTTCACTGGGAGATTGGACTGTACAACCTCAGGAATATCTTTGAATCATTAGTCACCGCGAGTTATTACGCGCTACCAGCTCACAGTCAAACTCAAAAGGGTGTGTTTACTTCAGCTGAATCCCACGGGATCCCTGAGAGTTCAAATCTGGAAACTAAGTATAGAGTATGTAACAGGCAGAGGGCAGGAAGACAATTTAAGAGTATTCGACTGCCAGGGAATAAGAAGTTTAACTTTTATATGGGTGGGTATATACACACACACACCCCAAACACACTCATATATACACATGCACACAAATATATAGGTGCAAAAAAAGAACATATTCCCCGCTTTGGAAGAAATTATTCACTAAACGGCCAAACTGAGGTGTGCCAGCATACTTAGCGGTTGGCATCGCGTTGAAAAGAGTTTTGCCTGCTGAGTAACCCACCGTAATACGGTACTATACGTATCTATCTGTACACCGTATCTATCTGTACCATATACGTATGTGCACACATACCGTATGTATACCACAGAGCTATCTACCACATACATACCATGCGTATGCCACACACACACACACTATATATATAATCTCCTCTGCTGTGGAGGAGATATGTTTGTGCGCGATGTAGCACGTTTCAAGCTTTTATACATCCTCCACAGCAGGCTGGATGCGTTTCTGGTAAAAACATTTTAGTCAAACACCCCTGCCTCTGACCATGAAACTTCCTGAGGGGAAAAAGGAGGGGAAAAAAGGGGGGGGG